TACATAAAGGGTTGATAGCAAATTATAATCATGTAAATACTAATTCTTTTGTGAAGTAGCTGTCCTCTGCTCTTCTATCTGAACGATCAGGGTGAAAAAAAGTAGAAATCATTGATCAGCAAACTGCACTATTACGCAACGCTAACTTCTCCTTCAATTGATGGGCTTTTACAGTCAGGAAGAACTAGTTCAATCACTCTCCTTCCGACCATTTTTAACAAGCATTTTTTCCTAAACACCTAAATAATCCTAAATAATACCAAGGTAAATGGAATAATGAACTTCACTACAGCTGGACTTCTAGTTTTCTTGGGAAATTGGTTTTAGCTGTGATTGTCAGAGCATCAAATTCAACAAATAGGAAAACTTGAACATAAATTTTGTTCTGCAGTAATTTCAAATAAGATTCTTAACTCTGACCATACTTTTAATTTTAATAGACATTGATGAATGCCAGACTGACGATAATGAATGTCACACGAATGCAGACTGCCTAAATTCCATTGGCTCGTATACCTGTCAGTGTAAACCTGGTTACCAAGGGAACGGAGTTGTGTGTGAATGTAAGTACATTTGCCTTCTAGAATTTTGAGATCATTCTGTGATGAACTTTCTGGAATGGTTTAAAGGTTTCTTATGTTACACAGTCGAGGGCTGTATTTACTTTTCAGTCAACGCAGAGGTGATAAAGCACTCGCTTTTTGGTAAAAGGCGACCAACGTATCGATTGAATGGTAATTTTACCGATGAACAGCCCTTGTCGGTTCTTATTTCTGTTTAATTTCACGAAATAATAATTTGGAGAACGAAAAGTGAGGTCAATCAGCGGGGAGGGGTGTGACGAGTCACATTGAGGGTAACCCTCCCCTAATCCGGACCTCGATCTATTACTGTGTACGTTTCCTATATATAATGATCAGAGTTACCTTTTCCGTGCTTGTGGGATTAAATAACTATTTGAAGTCGATACGCATGCGTCTATTTGCATTTTGTAAGAAACGTGCTATCTGCAAGCTTTATAAACCTTTTCTACAAAATGCGATGTCTTAGAGCTTTTTTCCTCCAATTAATTTATAACCGTGCCAGTAAACATCTGTACTTTTCATGCATGATAGTTGCTAAATATCGGAACTTTTACATAGAAGTTTTCAGCGCTAGAAAGTAAGAATCCGTAAATAAGGTCTATCGGATTGTTGTTTTAATTCCGTCATTCGGCATGTCGGTTGTAACGTTGGTTTCTTATGGCAAAGGGTTTTGTCAAATAATAGATCTAGGAATATATAACCAAGACGGATAGAGAAAAAAGGAAAACGAGAAAATTGCCACAACAGCACTCAGACAATTTTGAAAACGAAAACGGAAGTTACTACCAGTAAAACGTTCACTACTTCTCACGCCGGGGAAACCCCCTTTTTTAATATTCAGAGACGACATCTTCCGGGTCGCTTCGATGAGTAATTTTACGCAGTTTGCACCAGCATACCAGTTTTACGGCCAATTTACCAGGATTATAAACTTTCTTATGTCAGCATTATGCAACTTGAATCAGCTTGTAGATAGTAGACCGGTTATTTAAGAAACAGTCGTTGTATGTATAAGTCACACAAAGACAAACTGTTTTAATTCAAACGCGTGAAGACATATCGTCCCAGGCCATCCTCAATGAGTTTTCTATCTGGCATTCATAAACGCTGGGGAGACTGAGCTTCAGGTTTTGGCCCTTGAAGTTGGATCTTTTATTCACGCGACAAGATCTATTGTTTGTCAGCGATCACCTACTTATCACCAACAAGAAATTGTATGTAACGCGTATTAAAATCGTAGCTCCATACGCTGTTTTACGCTCTCTCTCCATATTCCCTCTTAAGCAGTCGCCAAACATTGAGATAACGAGTTGAACACTGATAATCAACAAGCTCCACTGGGTATGGAAAGCGACATTCTCAGGGTTTATTCTAGAAATTGGCCAGTGAGGGTCAAATGAGCCCCCTTCTGTAACTTTGTGGGGCCATTTTTCGAGAGAGGGGCTCCAAGAAAAGGGGTCCTCCAAAAGGTATTTGAACTTATTGGTACAGACTGTTCCGTGAGAAAACGAACGTTTGTTTACGCTTTGCTCCCATTTTGGAACATTCTGGGCAACTAAAAAAGCCTGGGCTCCAATTACTGCAGAATGCCGGATGTTTGTCTGGTGAAATAATAGGGAGCTTAAGCAACTACGACGACGTTCTCTGCTCGTGCATCACGCTTTGTAGTACATTTCTTCGACGACCACTGCACGACTACGTCGTGAAACCTCCTAATTTGACGCTTTATGGAGGACGTGGACATACGACGACGAATTTTCCTTCCTCTTTTTGAACTTGAATATAATCCTTAAGAATCTAACTCCAGGAAAAATCGCCTGAATTTGACTGAGCGGGTCCAAACAGACGCGATTAAGTTTCAAAGAACACAAATTCATTTTTTTTAGTGACGTTTTCACTGCCTTCGTCGTCGTCTTTGCTTAAGGTCCCTAATGACTCAAACGGAGAAGAGAAAGGCAATTGAGACAGTAACAGGCTATAAAAGTTCAAAGTAAGCTTATAGAGCAGCCGACAAATCAGTGTTGTTGTCAGTGTTGTTTTCGAATTCTTTATTTCAAAAAAAAAAAAAAAAAAAATAGTACTTATCCTTGGGTCTATTTTTTTTGCGCCCCATTTGACGCGGCAACATAAATTTTATTAGGCCTTTTTTTTTTTCAAATTGTGGAAATGCCGCAAGGCGGCAGTCTAGAATAAACTCTGCATTCTAATGCATATCAATATAATATCTAGTAACGATTCTCAGGACATCTTTTTTTCTTTCTTTTTGTTAGTTTGTTTCACTTTTCGGATGAAAGAAAGAACGATGAAAGTACGATGTCGATTTGAAATAATTTTTAAGGCTTAAAGGTAAAAGATGAGGTCAATGAGCGGGGAGGGGGGAAGATCAACTCATTTAGCTAGTAGATAACCCTCCCCAAATCCGGACCTCAATACCTACATGTTCTCTTCGTGTATTTATTAAGATCAAAGTTGGGTATGTTTCACTTGTGGGATACTTCTACGGACTGCGCATGCGCTTTGGATATTGTCTGACCGTTTTTTTTCTTGAATTCAACTCGGAATATAACTCGCAAAGATTTCTGTGCCCAAGGGTCGCAAAGCACAGCATCTTTTGTCTACAAAACATGTCTCTCCTCGGGGAAAATGTATTTTTCTTTGTTTTGGTAACCAAGAAGAACCAAAGAACCAATACTGAATAAAGATAATTATAAGTAGTGTGCGTCGCGTAGACAAAACCATGCGTGCTTTTTTGAGCTGTTTACTTACAGACTTATTGTACTAAAAAACTGGCGCAGAGAATTAGCAACGCCGATGGTATAATGTTGTGTTCAGGTGAAAGAGCCTGAAATTATTTATGCGTAGTTACACGAAAATGTCAGACTTAAATTGATGCCCAACTTTGTATACTTAATGATTAACTGCTAGAATACCTCAGTTCAACTCGGAACATTTTTAAACACGCATAGATTTCTGTGCATAAAGGTTCACAAAGCACAGCATCTTTCATCTGCAAAACACGATGTCTACTTTGTGGCTCCGTATTCTCCTTGGGGAAAAATACATATTTTTATTTGTTTTGGGACATGGTAATGTATGATGATGAGTTTGGAACAAAAAAATGAAATTTAAATCAAGCATAACACTGAACCATGGCAACTAACTTTCGGATTATCTGCAGAATTAAGCCTCTCTTTTGTATGGTACTGACAATATCTTTTCTCGCGGTTTTGAAAGTTGGTTTTGTCTGTACAAAATTTTAATTAAATTCAAACCAAACCCCCTCCCCCTCCAAAAACATTGGTTTTGCAGAACTTAAAGAACCAAACATGAGCAGAATAATAGACAATTTAATAACCCGTTCGAAATGCTCTCATTCGTCACAACCGTAAGACCACATTACCTTATACAGCATTTTCTTCTGCTAGGGATTTGATAAGATAAAGTCAAAACGAGAACGTAAACATCAGTCGATTAAGTGAAGGGAAGTAGAAGATACTTTTAGAAAAACTAATACATCTAGTGGCTCCTACTGAAATGTTTTACAATGTGGAATTGCCCAGCAACATTTTAGGCATCCTACAGTTGAACAGATACGACATAGATATTTTGAGCAACTGCAGTATTTGCTGTCTGTCCCCTTTGAATTGAATGGCATAAGAACGTTGAAAAATCCCTGGGGTGATTTTGAGTATAATCGAAACTTTTTATGTTTTGTCAATGTAAATGTTTGTCAGGGTGGGAAAAACCCCTAATTTGATATTCACGGATGACGTCATAGACACTTCAAGACGCCATAAATTTTTAATAGGGGCTATAGCATTGGTGTTGTAATGAAACACGATGTTTTGTGAATACCGTCATAACATGGATGCATAGTAAATTGAAGCTTATGTAAATGCTTCGTTTCCTTTGCTTTACTCTGCAAATTAAATATTCAGAAGAATTTTCCACTCGAATTTTGCAGCGACCTCCAGCAGAATGATATAAATAGTCTGCGTCGCGAAGACAACCATGCGTGCCCAAGTGACAGTTGGAGGGTTGAGCTGTTTACTTACTGCGGACAAGAATAACATATTTATTATACTAAAATATTGGAACAAAGATTTAGCAACGCCGATGGAATATATCGTGTTCAGCTGAAAGAGCCTGAAATTATTTATGCGAAGTTACACGAAAACGTCAGCCTTAAATTAATGCCCAGCTTTCTGAGCAAATTGAAGGAAAAAAATGCTAGTAAAAAACGAGATTTATTTTCTATAACTAGTGAGAGCGTACAGCTCTTTACTTTCTTTTTTATGTGATAGCCCTCGAAAAATCATCGCTCATAAAGTGAATTGCGTCAAAAATAGCTTGTTTCTCTTTACAAAGCGCGTTGCTAGTTAATCCTTTTCTTTGCAATCACTGTATAAGTAACTTATTTCTTTATCAGCGGATGGTACATGTGCTGGAGTGAGATGTCATCCAGATGCAATTTGTGACGAAGAAGCATTGCTTGGTCCAGTGTGCGTTTGTAGGCCAGGCTACAAAGGCGATGGAAGGAAGTGCACAGGTGGAACCTACAATTTGATCTTTATTTTTCTTTGCCATGTATTATTTTCCCCTGCAGATTAAAGCATACATTCTTAAGGACCGATTTCCTTCTGTAAAACCAGCCAACTCATTTCACGAGACCCTTTCGACAAAGGCCTCATTACATTGGTTGAGCTGAAGGACTTCAAGTTCACGACCAAAGAGACAACTTCAGAATAGGAATTACATAGATGATCAAAGGTCGTATAGGCTATCGCGCTAAATTGTAAAGTCTAGTTTCCATAAGATAGTCACGGTAGTTGCAACCACACAACGTCATTTGACGTGGTCATTCGAGCCACGCGATTAAAGGTCCGTACATTTGAAGGGCAAAAGCAGTACCTGTATTTCTCAGTTATTTTTAAGTCCCTGACTATTATTTTGCTGGCCCCGGGAATTGAAACCGTGAACTCCCACTCTACACCCAAGAATTGTACCGGACTCTTTAGCAATCGCAGCGACGTAGTCCGGCAGTGCAACGGCGATCGCTGAGATAGACTTAAGTACTAATTCAGTTTCCATATCTCTGGATCTTAATTTCTGAGTGACCGCAGCAATCATGTAAAAAAACTTGACTCAACAACAATAATACTTCTCTTGTAGACATCGATGAATGCTCGGACGATGATAACAAATGCCATCAGGAAGCTGAATGTATCAACACTTTTGGATCATACAACTGTTCTTGCAAACCTGGATTTGAAGGCGACGGATATAACTGCAGACGTAAGTGTTGCAAGCTACCTGAACACATTTCAAGGACACAACGTTTCCTTTGGCAGTTGTCCTTCAGTTGTACTTTTAGTAGCTATATTGGTGGTTTCTTGATTATTAAAAGTTGTACTTGGCAAACTGAACAAAAAACTGGGAACAGAAGATTAAAGAAACCAGGAGATTGAAAATAATAATCATCATCATCATCATCATCATCATCATCATCAACAACAACAACAACTTTATTAAAGTCTTGTAAAAACCTATACACAAAAGAAAAAAAACTGCGGTAGGGTAATTATAGTTCCTCGCTATATACATACACAAATTCTCAAAGCATAAGAGTTAGTCGTTTGTTAGCGCCATGATTTGATGTCTCCCCAGTGACCTCCTGAAGTACCGGCTCTGCTTCCACATCATTAAAGACCATCCTTAGCATCTCTGCTTGATAATAATAATAATGATTATAATATTGAAGATTATGATCATGATAATCTGGTCGCAGGAAACAAGAAAATAGGCCGCGTCTGAATAGGATTAAAGTGGAAACCTAATGCTAATGATTTTTTTGTTCAATTCTATCACACTATATGAAAAAAAAAATGTAAAGTGAACGTTTTTGATTCTTGTCCCAGTGCATTCAAAACTGACGATATAAGGCAATTTTGAGGAGCGTTTAAATAGAGGAAAAAGTATTCCTTCGAACCGGATTCGAACCAGCGACCTAAGGATGACAACTCAACTTCTACAGTCCTCCGCTCTACCAACTGAGCTATCGAAGGAATCGATGCATAGCAGAATTGTGTTATCGGTAAACTCAAATTATTTCTCGCCGAGTCTTATGACAACGTTGTGTGACATAAGGAATGATGAAAATAATAATAATGACAATAGTAATAGTAATAACAGAAGATAGAGCCACGAGTATGCACGACAACAAGCAGACAGCGAGAAGGGCAGAAAATAAATTCAAGCATAATTTCTTTGTAGTTTTCCGGCACATGAAAACAGATTCTTTAAATCGATCAAGTGTTATCGACTACAATCCCTGAAAGGTTTTAAAACCTGTTGAAATTTCTGCCCGTTGTAGTCATTGTTTTGACAGTCTTATTTGTTTTTTCGAAAACGAACCTCGATTTATTAGCCGCCCATCCCAAACAAAAAAGTTAATAAGCGCCCACCCTCGAATAAGCGCCCACCCCTTTTCCCAATCAAACTCAAATAAGCGCTCACCCCCACCCACTTGAATGTTAAATTCTAATAAGGGGAGGACGGAGTTCTTCAGAGTATTTTACAGAAACCTTGCTTTGTTACTTCTTCGCGTTTTGCTATTAATTTATTGTTTTGTTATAAAATAAACATGCTTCACTTGCTGAAAATTGAAAATTTAAGTTGAATAAGCGCCCACCTTGCGCCCAAAGGTCTAAAAATTTAATAAGCGCCCAGGGCGGTTAATCGAATAAATACGGTATATGACTTGTGTACTCATTGATCAATGGTTCGTGTCCTTATTTAAGCGGACGGAACATGCGCAGGAATCGTATGTGTAGTGGATGCTGTATGTGTGACAACGCAGAACGGCGCCCAAGTCTGTGAATGTAAAGCAGGTTTTACCGGAAATGGACTCGATTGTAGAGGTAAGCAAACTTGCAAGTTTCTCTCTAAATACAGTCTACTAACAGTTTTGAAACGATTTAATTTTCGGCTTTTCTTTTACAGTATTGATTTTGCTTGTTTGTGAAGTTCATTAATATTTACCCATTTTTTAGACATTGATGAATGCGCAAAGCTTAACCACGAATGCCACAGGAAAGCCAAGTGTGTTAATCAGCCTGGATCTTACGTTTGTCGTTGTAATCGAGGGTATTATGGTAGCGGTTTCCTTTGTTCGAGTAAGTAATTACCCATCGCAAAGGCAACATCAATCTTTAATAATAATAATAATAATAATAATAATAATAATAATAATAATAATAATAATGATAATAATAATGCACTTTATTTAAAGAGGGTCGCACTGAATAGTTACAGAAACTAGTAAACTTGTGATCCTCTATCAAGCGGATCTCTCAAGCGCATCAACTGCCCATTCAATGATCTATCTTGCAGTCTTTGTTAGTGAAACTTGGATTCTGGATTTCAATCGTTAGTGAGCTTCCGGATTCCTTGAGTTGTATTCCGGATTCCAAAGCCTAAGATCCCGGATTCCACGAGAAAAAATCCCGTATCCCGGATTCCACAAGCAAAAATTTCCCGGGTTCTGGAATCCAGATTCCCCTACATTGGGCGATATCTTATTTAAGACGTCGTGCAAAAAAGCAAAGTAAATGAACTGAAAAATCATTGTACACAACGGCCAAGCTAATGATTATAATAGGCCCAACTCATTGAGCTGTTTTCCTACCGAAATGATATTTTGTGTACATTGTACATTCTGACATTTGAACATTTAACCAAGGTATTCAGATCGACATTGTTACATCTCATATTTTAGCATTAAAGGGACGCAGTCAGTTAATACTCATGCGCATTAGATACTAGTTTTTAGCTGACTTGCTTATCACAGATACGCAATTCATACGGTTTTTAACCAAATATGATAAATTGTATCTCGCCACTGCGCCACTCTTGTTCTCCTAAATGGACAATGCTCACTAATTACTTAGTCAAAGGTTGTTCCTTGACCACATCTTTCCTGCCGTACATAAATCAAACGCTGCAACTCAGTATTTGATCTGCAATATTTGATCGTAATTTTCCTCATGGTTAGGTGATGGAACGTGTGAAGGGGTGGTTTGTGACTACAACGCTGACTGTATAGAAGTAAGTAATGACGTAGATCCGGATAAGGAGTGCCGATGTAAAACAGGCTTTACAGGGAATGGAGAAATTTGTACCGGTGAGTAAGTTTACGTGTTGTGAGAGATTACCATAAAGCAAACGGTGTTCGGTCGAGATTTTTTAACGGTCTTGCTAACTTTGTGCCTTACAGTAAGCCAAGAAAAAGGATCTAGGAAATAAAGCCTCGCTCAGACCGCGTGACACCCCCTCTCAACATTTTTGTGAGATGGGGTGACTTGTCGCGCGAACAGTTACGAAAACTTCGTTTTTTTGTTGTCGAAATGCTGGAGCCGTTTGCAAAGTTCTCTCCACTTTGTCATATTTGCGCAAGGCCAGTGCATTTCCTTTTTCTTTTGTGAGGATTGATACACTAAACGTTGTGACCACTTGATCTAGCATGTCCTTGAAAGCTCCTCTCGGCAAATTTGGAAGCTGTTTGACCCGCTCTTTCAAAATAGTTGTTCTGGCCGACCGCTGTGTATCCACGTTTTCCTTTTGTGATCATATAATACGGTTATCTATCTATGTTTGTCACGGGAGAAACTTATGACATCTCGATTATTCATGGTATTGTTACTCTCTCTTTGCGACCTTATGACCCAGCCGGGATGAAAAGGATGAGTGAGTGAGAGCTAACTCTCTCAATTGACACTCCCTGAGATTGTGGACCCTCTTATTCCCCTTTTCGTCCCAAGAATGATTAAAATCAATTTTCTCGTAACGGTTACAATTCATAATCAAGAGAAAAGGTTTCTGACAGTTACTAAAATAATTACCATAGGAAAAGTGCCTTGATCTTTTATAAAATTCTCTCAACTAATTCCCTAACGAAATGTATCGTAATCATTCTATGTGAATTCGCATGTACATCTGCAGCCCAGGTCTGTTTCAAACGTCGCGCTACTGCCGTGCTAAAGTCAAATTTAATTCGATCAATTTAGTTCGCCACGGAAGTAGCACGACGTTTGAAACGGGCCTATGCACAGGGCGAATATTTACTTGTCACCTTTTCTTGTTAGACATAGACGAGTGTGAAGATCCTACTGTGTGTCCTGATAAGGCAGACTGCTTCAACATGGCAGGTTCCTTTATGTGCCATTGTTTACCAGGGTACAAAATGATTGGACAAACGTGTAAAAGTATGTATCTTTTTTATCACCAGGTTTTGTTTCAAGGCGCCCTAGAATTGGCGACCCCAAAAAATGATAGTCAGATTCCTACTATAAAATTTGTTTCTACTAAGAAAAACGTGTATCGTGGGGGGTGGGGCGGGGAGTAGGGCTGGGTTTTGGCACTTAAAGAGTTAAGGGGTAGTCGAGGCACTAGGGGGGTGTAACGGGGATGGCGTTTTTCATAGATTTGTTGGTGGTCTTCGTAGACAGGAGTCTCAAAACAGAGAGAGTGTGTGACTTTTCATAGTACTTAACATAGACAGTTTTCGAATAATGTACATAAACCTTTTTTTTAACAGAGGAATGCAAATTCTGTCTGAATGGTGGGTCATGCACTGAGAACAATACATGTCTTTGTCCTCCTGGCTTTTCGGGCAAAAGATGCCAGTGGCGTAAGTATAATCTAATATAATGATCGAATTAGACTGTTTGTGTGTGTTGTCGAGATTAATAGAAATTGAAGAAGGGTTTTAGAAGTGCCATCCTCGGAGACCCAGGGGCAGATAGTGGGGGCGAGGGAAAGTCTAAACGGGCGGGAAAAAATGGCGCGAAGAAAAGTAAAGAACGGCGAGAAGAGCCCCTGGGGACAATGTCTTACCAGACCAGTTCCAAACGGTCGCCGCCGTTCTGACTTCTGATTGGTGCCAGAAAACTTTTGTGTTTTTCTGCCCAATCAGAAGGCAGAACGGCGGCGACCGTTTGGAACTGGTCTGGTAAGACATTGTCAACAGGGACAATCGTGCCATATTTTTCCGCCCGTTTAGACTTTCCCTCGCCCCCACTATCTGCCCCTGGGTCTCCGAGGATGTAGAAGTGCGTGAAGAAATGTTTGTTAAATACGTTTTTTGGGTACATG